TTTTTAAAAAATAAAATAATAATTACTTCATGTTAAATAGTGGAGGTGATAAACATTACCAGTGAAATCTAACTGATGACTTTATATCCATACTCAGGCACTAAGGATCTGTGTATAACCGACTGTGACTAGTAATAATCAGATACATAGAGATTAAAGACACATGTGCAAACATCTAAGTGTTAGTAGCATTAAAAATGTAGGAAACTGGATGGAGAGAGAGTGCAGCAGTTAAGAACACTGACTGCTCTTGCAGAAGACCTGGGTTTGAATCCCAGCACCCACATGGCATCTAACAACTATCCATAACTCCAGTTCTAGAGGATCTGACAGTCACTTCTGTCCTCCACGGGCATTGCATGACATGAGTGTACTTACCTACATGCAGGCAATACACACATGTACATAAAATAAAAAGTAATAAAATATATTTTTTTAAATGTAGGAAACAGCATATTTTATTTTATTTTGTCTTTTTGAGACAGGGTCTCCCCATAGCCCCAGCTGTCCTGGAACTCACTATGTAGACCAGGCTGGCCTCAAACTCACAAAGATCCGCCTGCCTCTGCCTCCCAAGTGCTGGGATTAAAGGCGTGCACCACCACGCCCAGCAAAACAGAATATTTTAAAATGAAATGGAGATCTTTAAGGATTAAAAACTTAATTCAATTTTATGTCTTACAGGGTTTATACTGAGCTCAATATTGTATAACTGTATTAATTCAACTGTGAACCTAAAAATTTACAGCCACTTTTGAAAGAGATGTATCCTTGCTGTGGAAATTGTTACTGAATACATTAAAGCTGTAAGGAAATGTTTCTTATAATAGTGTGGTTATTAAATAAAAATAAATAAATAAATAAATAAATGGAAGGGGCTAGAGAGATGGCTCAGTGGCTAAGAACACTGGTTGTTCTTGCAGAAGACCCGGGTTCAAATCCCAGCACCCACATGGCAGCTAACAACTGTCCATAACTACAATTCCAGGGCATCCAACAACCTCTTCTGTCCTCCGCAGGCATTGCATGACAGGAGTGCACTTACCTACAAGCAAGCAATATACGCATACACATTAAAAAAAAAAGATTTCCAGTCCAACAACACTATCTTCCCTAATATTGTCTGGATTCCTTTTCCCCACTGGATTATTTTTTAATATTCCCACATTCTAATTTAGGGACAGTTCTACTATTATCCATTAAGACTTTCATAATCTGATCAGTGGAATAAAGGACCCTGATAAAAGATAAAACTATAGCCACCTGGTTTTTGAAAAAGATGTCAAAAATATACATTGGAGAAAAGACGGAATTCTTACAAATGGTGCTAGGAAAACTAGATGTCTACATGTAGAAGAAAGAAACTAGATACTGTTCTTTCAACTTGCACAAAACTCCAAATGGATGCAGGACCTCAACATAAGACCTGAAGCTCTGAAAGTGCTAGAAAGTAGAGATATAGACAGGTAAGACTTTCTGAACAAGTCTCCAATTATTTAGGAAATACAACAAATAACTGACAAACTCTCAGTCAAGTAAAGAGGAAGCCTACAGAATGAGAGAAAAATCCTTGCCAGTTATACATTTGACAGAAGATTAGTATTTAGAATATACAAAGAACTAAAAAACCTAAATATTAAGAAAACAAATAACCCAATCAAAAAATGGGACTACAGACCTGAACAGAGAGTTCTCAAAAATAGAAACATATATAACTCATAAACATTTTAAGTCACTAGTCATCAGGGATGCAAATTAAAACTACTTTGACAGGCTGAAGAGATGACTCTTACAGAGGACTTGGGTTCAGTTCCCAACATCCATATAGTGGCTAAATACCATCCATAACTCCATTTCCAGGGGATCTGATGCCCTCCTCTGGCCTCTTCAGGCCTTGCCACGCACACACATGCAGGCAAAACATTTATACACATAAATCAAAAAATTTAAAAAATATAAATAAAACTACTTTGAGATTCCACCTCAGAATGGCTATCATCAAGAAAATAATGACAAGTGCTGATGAGGATGTAGGGAAAAGAGTAACCCTTATCTACAACTGGTGGGAGTATAAATTGGTGCAGCCACTATCAAAGTAAGTGTGGAGGCGGCTCAAAAAACTAAAAAGAGAACTACTATATGACCCAGCTATACCTGTACTGAGCTTATATCCAAAGGACTCCATATTCTATTACAGAGATATTTGCACATCAAAGTTCACTAAATTCTATTCACAACAGAAAGGAAATGGAATCAGTCTAGAGATGACTATCAACTGCTGAATGGATAATGAAAATACATATATACAATATAATTTTATTTTATTTATCCTATAGATAAATAAGCCTGAGTTTAGTTCCTAGCACCCATGTTAAACAGCTCACAACTGACGGTAACTCTAGTTCTAGAGAATACAACACCCTCTTCTGGTCTCCATAGGCACTGCACTCACATGCACAATCCCATACTCAGACACACACCTGTGCACATAATTAAAAACAAAAACTTCTTGGGCCTGGTGGCACATGCCTTTAATCCCAGCAGAGGCAAGTGGATTTCTGTGAGTTTAAGGCCAGCCTGGTCTACATAGCGAGTTCCAGGCCAGCTACAGGGAGACCCTGTCTCAAAAAGGCC